CAGCTCTCTCTCTCTCTCTCTCTCTCTCCTCCCTCAGCTCTCTCTCTCTCTCTCTCTCTCTCTCTCTCTCTCTCTCTCTCTCTCTCTCTCTCTCTACATAGTATATATATATATATATATATACACACACTATCAAATGAGATAGTGAAAATAACATTCCATTCTGGTTCAGAATTCTTTAAGCGTTAGGATCACTGACCCTACACAATATACACAATGCTGCCCAATAGACCAACTTGAATATTCACAATCAGTATATTATCGTGGGGTTATTTTTGTTAATGTCTTCTGAAGTCCTTTTCACTCCAGCTAGGGCATTTATTATTATTATTACAGTTTGCCTTCCCAGCAGTGTCTTTCTGGTATCTTTTCTGTGATTTCACAGGTGAAGTACTCTTAAGAGACTCCTTTTCCACTAACTTAAAACAGTAGTTTTTGACACTTGCCTTGAGCATTTGCTGAATAGGTATTTAACAGATTTAGCTACATACTTATTGACAAATCTTAATGATCTAGTCACTGGACCTTTCCATTCCCAACGTTTGTAAGCATAGTATATATCTTTATCAGCTGTTACATATGCACTCCTTATTTCCCTCAAATGCACAGACTAATACTGCAATTACTAATACGCAAGTCTAGACTTCTAGTCAGTAGTTAAGTCTTTGTCTTAAGGCTGATTTTTTATTTTGGCTGATTTTTGGTGAAGTGTTTATAAGCTGATTATTTCATATGTGGTAGTAGTAGGCGGTGGTTTCAATAAACATTGGCTAAGGAAAGGGTTGCTTTAATTACTTTGGCAGAACAACTTCTGGATTTCTTGAAAATTATTGTCTGTCAGATGGGAGCTGATTTAAGCTTCCATCTGACAGGCTGTTCAATGTTCAAATAGGCTGTTCACAGTACAGGGAATTTTCACTTTGCAAGGAAAATTTCCCTTAGCTTATTGAATGTTAGAAAAAAAAAGACTCATTCACATGCAAAGAAAATTAAAAAAAACACAGTATTTTTTGCTTGCCCATGATCGGATGATGGAAGTCAGCAGAGCTTCGCCTCATTCTCTAAACTAAGGGTAAATTGAAAATGCTTTTGGAAAATGAACATCCTATTTGCCTTTAGTACATCAACCCCATGGAGTTAGTATACTACTAGTTTTAACATCCCATATGTGTGAAATTCAATCAGATAATAAAACTCAAAACACTTAACCTGTAGTGACAAAAACTAAAAAACAAGTTGTGCATAAAAATAAAAGGTATCTATATGATGATGTCAGAGCAACCACAGATAGGTAAATACACCATAGTTTGGGTTTTATGTTCTTGAATGATTAGTAAACGTTGCGTCATGTAATTTTCAAATCCTTAACAATACACGGCTCTATTAGATTTGTACAGATGTAAGGAATTGTCATTAACCAAGGATTAAAATTGGCACAATACATAAAATACTTCCATGCCTCTTAGTATCTTTGTTGATGTAATCAGCATCTTTCTGTCTTGGTAAATTATTAATTAAAGATACATACCTAAAAAGCTACAAACAAGAACGTATCTAATACAGGACAAGAACATAGGTGATATAGCACAATTGCAAATTCAATATTAGGTAGGCACTCATACCCCTTTATGTCCATCCCCGCCATGCATACATTTTTTCTGGTGCATGACCAGTATACAGAAACTGACCTAGGCATACATTTACATCATCCAGTTTGGCAGACCCATTTCTGTGGAAGCCTTTCTTGCACTTTTCACACTGTTGGCCATGAGTGTTGTGTCTGCAGCCCACGCAGACCGCCGTGTTTACAACCTCGATGTAAGTGCAGCGGCTGGAGTGCCCGTAGCAATAGCAATCTTGTGAGGAAGTAGGTAAGGGGAGAAAGAGAGAAAGAGAGAAGGCATGCTTGGTAAGGATTGTGTGCGGGGATAGGGTGGTAAATGTCAGCATGAGGTTGTGATACTGAAACTACGCGGGCATTCATTAAAATAAAATGGTGCTGACTGAAACATTTTTATACTAAACATCATACTAAAATCAAACAGAGTTGCCTTAGATTTCACCAAGGGTGGTACTACATGAGTTCAATAAACAGCCCCCTGGCCATAGGAGAACTTTGACAGGCACTCAGTCACCATAATATGATTAAATATTATATAGAGAATATTACAGCTGGTCTGAAAACATCCACAGTAAAATGCAGAATCATTATTTACTAGTTTTTCAGTCCTGGTAAGACAATGACTGTAATTATTTTATTCTTTTGCAGTCTCTTTTTCTAATATGTTTTATAAAGTATATAAATATATTATTAGTTTACAGTTATAAAATGCAGCAAAATGGGATGTTGCATCCTGCTACCATAAGCCCTATCAGAACGAAATAAAGCCCAGCTGAATATATACTTGGGCTCATTTACAAACTCCACAGTGGTTAAAAATGATGGATACTCTGCATATTAACAATTCAAAATGCCATTTCCTTAGAGCAGGTTAGAAAGTAAATGTTAACGCCTGTCTGGTGGTTATAGGTAAAAGCTTAATTTTTCTTTTGCTTGAGTTTTATATATGTGAGTCTCAATAATGGCAGAAATGTGATCTTATCACTTCACCAATCATTTTTATTGGATAAAGTAATTGAACCATCCAATAAAATACGACAGTTACTGAAGTCTCAAATGGAGAGTTGAGGACTTGGCATTGTTACTCACAAATGAGCACTGACATTTTAATGTAGCTGAGTAGGAAAATGGTTTTAACTTTCCAGTTCTTATAAAAATGGGCAGGAATGAAAAGTGTAATAAATAATATTTATATTCATCTTCCTTTTTAAAACAAACATAGGGCTATTAAGAAACAGGCAGTGGTGATTATATTCATATACCTTCTCCACCCTTCAACATTTAAAGTGATAAAATGTGCAATGTTGTAAATAATAATAATAATAATAATAATAATAATAATAATAATATCAACCTTTTTACCAGGCATAAACCTGGAATTACTAAGTGAATGCCCATTGAACATAGTCAGGTACACATAGTTCCCTGTTTGCAGACCATTAAAGGCTATAAATAAGGTCACATGAACTGCACAGCAAAGCAGATGAGCATCATGAAAGAAATGAAACAGAAGGTAGACACAGATTCAATGAGGTGAAAGAAGCAGGCACAATTAGGAGGAGTTTGTGGAAATAACAATTGTAGTTTCGGATCCAGCAATAATTTATTATATCTAATATCAACAGCAGACTAGACCCTCCAGTCAGTTCTTCTTCTCTACTTCTTTCCTTAAACAATGTCCACTGATCATTTTTGCATGGGTAGACTATATATGTGTATTAGGACTTACGATTGAAATTCAACTGTATTTTGTATGCTTCAAAACCAAAATGCTTAGTAAGAGTTCTTGCAGCTTTCCAATATTCCATTTGCACAATCTAATTAAATGTATATTGTAGCCGAACCCCAACATGCTTGGGCACTAAGCAGATAATATGTCTTTTATTGTGTGACCCTGTGCTTAAATGATTATCGTCCTTATATTGACCCACTACACTTTTACAGCTTCCTATTCTTCCCTGCCTAGTAGGCATGGCACCCTTAAGTTGAGCATCTCAATACTACATAAGCGAAGTGTTCACTTGCTGTGTACTTGGTGCTTTTCCATACAATCTAGCTATATGATGTAATTATCATCCAACACCCATGTGCCCTATATCCTTGTCTATTCTTACATGGCTAATCATAAAAGTCAATAACTGAAATGTTATATGAACTATTTACTGCATAATGTGCATTGGTAATATTATATCCAAATATGTATTTACATTAACTTTACAAAATACATTACCCTTAGTAAGTTCAACTATATGTCTCTCATAAACTGTATTCATATTGACTGTACTTGCAAACAACCTTGGCTTATTGCAAGCTACAACATCAGAACATGCTCTAGTGTATTATGTAACATTAGAACACAATGCAGCTGATTCATAAAAAGTGAAGAAAAAGTGAACAGACCACCACTGCTTCAGCAGTTGCCATAGTAGCTGAAAGGGTTCTTGTTTGATTTTCACAGTTATGAAAGATATCATTCACTCTGTGATATATATGAAACACGGATAATGGCATAAATCATAGAATTCTGCACATACAAAAAGTTTATTTTCAGCTAAACACTACTCTATGAGGAAGCGCTATTCAGTGTGAAACGCATCAGCGATTAGGCTGTAGGGATTAGGCTGTCTTTGTGATGCTGTCCATGCAGCATTCATCGGTTTGTGCTATAATTTATGTATCTTGCATATACCGTATGCATGAAGAGGTAACAAATCTACTAAAATACCTGAACAGATTGCAGCAGGGATGATAGGAGTGACCTGAACCAGTGGCAGTCTATTCCTTTACTCACATTACTCATTGTCACATATCTAACACCAAAGGCCACAAGCAATATAAAAATAGTCTTAAAAAAATTAGATTTTGGGGACTAATAAAAAATACACTAGGACTTAATTTCTGATAGCTGACCTCTGCTACTATTGATGGCCTTTGGTCTCCACTGCGGGAAAGATGAGTTTACTTTATATATTATTGTGACTCCAGGATGTGTATGTTCTTATTATATGCCTAATATACGACCTAATGTTTTTGCATTGTAACTTGTATTACTCAATAAAAACATATTGAAACAGAAATGATGGCCTTCACTTGAGTCAGTGCAAGACTCATCTTTAGGCAACTTGATCTGTCCTTCTATTTATTATTCAGGACAACATTCAGAATCGAAGCAAGTATGGAAAGGAAAAGGATGCTGGTGAGATCAAAGCTATACTTGTATTGTTTGATAATTTTATAAAGATAACACTTCCTTTTATTGTTATAATATTTTCAGTGCAGCTTTAGCACTAGAATAGTAATTCTGTAATAATGATAAGTCTACCATTGCTAAAAATGTATAAAAAAGGGAATAAGACTTCTAGTAAGTGAAGCTCCAAAGTTTGCTTCATGCCAGATTTAACAAGTTTTAATTTAACAATAAAAAAGTAGGTATTCAAACCCAAAGAACAGTAGCATTAAGTATATACAGTATACCTAATATTGCATTCTGGTAGAGTAATCTACCTAAGAGCAAAAACAAATCGCTAATTAATTGCAAAACCAAATTTACAAATCTACCAGTTCTCAGTCATTACTTCTGTCTTGTTATGTCAAGAATTAAGTTTATTGATCTGGATTACTCTCTGCTAGATATACGCAGCACCTCTATAGAATTTTTCTAAAGGCTCAATTGCCAAAGGGAGTATTGTCAAATCCAGCAATTGCCACTTAATTTAGCTAAGTTACAAGATTTTTTTTTATGTCCCAAAGGTTAGAAAGGAGGCAAACAACTCTTTTGAACAATTTTTGAAGTGTTGAGGAGAATGGCTAATGTGTATTTTCAAAGGCTTTCTAGGCAATTATTACTAAAGACGATATTCTCTTTCAACCACAAAACTTAAAAGCAGCACAAGATACCACACTTGAAGCACTTGATGTTGTATTTAACATCAATAAGCTACACATTATCAATTGTATAAGTGTACAACCTATTTTGTTTATATTGTCAGCCATCTCAGGCTAAACATATGTTCTGTCCCTCAATAGGATTCCTTTATAGAAAGACAGTTTGGGTTTGGAAAATATATATTCTATCACCACTGCCTTAATAAGCATCTAAATATTTATATGTATCTCTGTGAATATTGTAGGTATGAATTAATATACAATTTAGGTCTGTTGGTCTATGGGTTGATACAGAATACCTTTGTTTATCCTTTGCAGGGAACAGACAATGAATTGGTTTGGATTTGTTTTATGTTATGTGTCGCTGTCCTTTGCTTCCTAGTGGACATTGCACACCTCTATAATCTAATACAATAAGACAAGTGTTAACTCACAATGTACCTGTACATTATACTGCAGCTTTATGATTTGACTATCAACATATAAGGCGCCCAACTCCCCTGTCTATTCCCACGTAGATAACCAGAAAAGTCTGATCAATTTTGAGATATTGAATGCCTATGGAGCCTAATACATCTAATTCTCACAGAACCTTTCCTTAATACATTGTATTGTAAGGGTCAATGAAAGCACACATGCCAAGAAGTAAAGGTAAAACCCTTGCAGTGAGGCCCCCTCGCACTTCAAGGGTTAACTGCTCATTAAATCTAGGGGTAGAGGTATAACCTGTAATACTTACCTTATTTCTCACTCTGGCAGGTTTCTATCACCCTTCTCTCTGATGCTCTGGGTTGTGGGTGGGCCCTCACCATCCTCATGCACAATGCACGGCTGCTGGTCTGGCATTGTAAGACATGATGTCAGAGTGTAACCACCAGCCAGAGCACAGAAGAAAAGAGGCTTTGGGGGACTGGTTACACAGCTTGGTGGAAGCCTGCTGGTACTAGGAATAAGCTAAGCCTTACAACTTATTCCTCTAGCCCTAGACTTAACACACATTAAACCGTTGCAGTGGTAAGAATCCTGGAACTCAGCTCTAATTATTGAATATAAAAGCACATTTTCTACTACCTCCCCCAACCCTCCTGCTTTCAAGATGTTGTATGCTGTTTAAAGAAAAAAAATTATGTGTATTTTAGTGAGCAGATAAATACTACTGCAATGCTAACATTGGAGTGATTTTTTTTAAAACATGTCACATTTATACATGTTTGCTTTTCCATTGCTCTTCTTTTTGATATTGTAGTACATTCAGAAATTTGTAAATTAGCCACCAAATGCTGTCTAGATTACCTACTACAATTTCTCTAACTGCTTAATCACTGTTGAAATAAGATAACATCTGTGTAG